CTTCTTTTCCTTCAAGCCTGTCTTCCTTAGATTGCCAACCTGTACGAGCTTGGTGCCTGATCCTTGGGGCCTACCCTAATCTAGACACTCCACAGTACTTGTCGAAGGACTGGTGGCCGAATGACTGATTCCTTCCTCTTTTTGAGGAGCTATGGTATTTACTTACTACAGCGATCTCACAGGATACCCACTGTATGAACGAGGATGTAGAGACCAGACCTGTATGAGGTTCCGTGGCCTCTGCAGGTGCGTCTGTTGTTTTCAGAGTAATTGATCAGGACAGGAATTTAGAGGTTCTCCCTGCATTTCCCCTTCTTCCACTCTGCCGAGCAGGCTGCCAGGCTCTGCGTGTCCTTGTCTCAGGGAGGCTGCTGGGCTGTTTGAGGCAGTGGCTCTCCTTGGATTTGTATATCGTTCCTGTATTTCTTCCAGTTGAAGAATTGGTGCCAGTGTCGTATCCTGGAGAGACAGGGAGGAGAGCGCCTTTGAAAGAAACCAACCTGAAAGGAAAATTCCAGCAGGCTGAGGGTGAAGCCAGAAGCCGTGAAGGGAGTGTCCAGCTCATTGCAACAGCCGAGCCAAGGGCAAGGTCTCCAAGGGACATGCCCTGGCTCCTCTGCCTCGGCACGACTCCCCTAGGCATGCGGCAGGGGTCGGACGTTAGCTAGGAAGGGATGGCTTAGGTTTAGACACAGGGATGCCGGTGTGACCGTCATGTACATAGGTTAGAAAGCTATGCTCTGCAGCCCTGCACCAGCCCATCTCCCACTCGAGGCTGCAAAAATAGCAGAAGTGAAAGTCATTCATTCTTCTAAAAAACAAATAAATAAAAAAGTCAGAAAACTGAGTAAATATTTGAAATGTCCACTAGGAATTTTTTCATGTCCCCCAGGGTAAAGCGAACACCCTCTCCAGTAAGACGGCTGGAGGGGTGAGGCACCCTGCAGGGAAACGCAGACCAGTAAGTCCCAGTGAGGGAGGGTAGAAAGGGGCGCTCCTGGCTCAGAAGTGCCAAGCTGCAGACAAACCATTGCCTCTTCCTGGAGGACACCCAGAGGTAATCGGTGAGAGTCAGTGACCGGCCAGGCCAGCCGTAGGGGAATGGCACCCTTTTATTAAGGTTCTCTGGGTAATTGACAGTGCTCTGCCTTGGTGAGGGGTCCTCTCCTGACGTCAGAAGACCTGCCGTGTTCTTGGGGCTCAGCTACTTCCCCTTGGTCACCCCCACCTTCACAGCAGAGGTCACACTGTCCTCACCTGGGAATGCACAAAAGGTGTTGTACTCACATCTGCCGCTCCCTGGAGGAGGTGACTAGTCTTCACTGAGTGGTGGGAAAACAGGGCTCTGGTCCTCACCCTGGGAATGCATAAAAGGTGTACTCACATCTGCCGCTCCCTGGAGGAGGTGACTAGTCTTCACTGAGTGGTGGGAAAACAGGGCTCTGTGGACACTTAGCTGGCGGAATAGCGAGAGTAAAATCTCACTGGGGTAACGGGAGCATGAAGGCCTCAGGCAGGATTCCTGAGGCAGCACATTCCCGAGCAGTGGGGCTGCTCCAGTCGGTTATCAGAGGACGTAAGCTTCGGATGGCCTCAGTCACTCAGCGCACGAAAGCGGGATGTTTGTAACAGTTTCTGAAAACTGGCGTTTTCCTGTCTTCAGAAATCCAGATAAAACCTCCACATCCTCACTACCATGAAAGGCAGAGGTGAGCACGCATGCTTGCTCTTCCTTTGCTGGGTTGACTCTCCTCCCAGCCGGCCCCTCCCTCGCTGATCTTTCCCAGCTTGACCCTGAGTACCTCCCACACGGAGGTGACACGAGGACCCCAGGACCAGGCTACACCTGAGTACCTCCCACACGGAGGTGACACGAGGACCCCAGGACCAGGCTACACCTGAGTACCTCCCACACGGAGGTGACACGAGGACCCCAGGACCAGGCTACACCTGAGTACCTCCCACACGGAGGTGACACGAGGACCCCAGGACCAGGCTACACCTGAGTACCTCCCACACGGAGGTGACACGAGGACCCCAGGACCAGGCTACACCTGACTACCTCCCACTCGGAGGTGACGCCAGGCCCCCCAGGACCAGGCTACAGAAGACACAAGACTCCAGGTGGTCCCACGAGCCTCACTTTCAGGCTTCTGCAAGGAGCCCTGGAAGGGGCATCTAGACATAGGCTCTGCCCTTCCTCCTGAGAGAAGCCACTGAGCTGAAGGATTCGTAGACACATTGAATAGAATCGAGTCAAAACTGAAGCCCTGCTCACCTCCGAAGGGGTTCCCAGTTCCTGCACCCACCTTTGTCCTAATGAAACACATTTCCGTTTCCCATCTAGAGACCGTCAAGTCTCCTGCCTCCTCTTTCGCCTCCATTTCCAATATCCATCCTGCGGGATTTGAGGGTCCTATTTGTGGATCTCTTTCGTACTGTCTCTGCTTTCCCACACGCCCCCTCCAGCGACCCAGGCTTCTGTCTCAGACCCCTCGATGGTCCCGTAGCCTGCTTTCAGTGCCCACCTCACTTCTCCCAGCCCACTGTCCGGAGGGCTCTGGGCAGGGGGCTGGAGATGTTCACTCATTCATGTCATAAATATTCATTACTCTCTGCTGGGTACTGTTCTGAGCACTTAGTATAAATTATAAAAGACAAAAACAAAAATACCTGGCCACTGCCATCTGGTGACGTGCATCCTTCGTGGCGGGGCACACGATAAACAAGTGTGTAGCACATCAGCTGGTGACGTGTGCTCCAGGGGGACAGGAAGTACAGGGCGGAGAACAGAGAGGATGGGAGGGCACTCTTTTATATTGGGTGGTAAGAGAAGCCCTTTCTGAGGAGGTGGCATTTTAGCAGAGACCTGTGCAGTGAGCAGCAAGGACAGGAGTGAATCACAGGAACGTCTAAGAAAAGAGCAGCGTGGTAGAAGACCTGTACAGTGCGAAGTCCTGAGGCGGAAGGAGCCATGGTGTGTTCAGGAAGTAACACGGAGGCCACATGGCTGCAGCAGAGCACAGAGAGCAGTGACGGGGACAGCGGAGTGGAGTGGGCTGGAGTCGGAGGGTGCAGAGACTTGCAGGCTGTTGCAAGGACTTGAGCTTTTATGCTGTGTGAGGCATAGAGCCACTGGAAGGCTTCACACAGAGATGTAATTCAAACTGTCCAAGAATGGGGAACCAGCAGTTAGCGTAATGGCTATGTCGCTGGACTCCCACGTAGTCGACTGCGGTTCGTGTCCCGGACCCAGTGGCTTAAAACTCACACCAGGTGCGTGTGCGTGCATGCCCAGGATCCTGAGAGGAGAATGGAGGAGAAGGGACTGTGGCGTGACC